TCTTAACAGATGTAAGGTTAATGTTTGACGCTCTACAACAGGACAATATGTGCTGTATGATTAAGCTAAGCATACTTTATAGTCTTTATTCTACTTAGGAAATGGAAAGCGACATGTTTATATTGTGGATGCTGTAACCCTAATCTAATCTTTATATGTTTTTTATACTTTTATTTAAAAGATTTCAACTTGAGAACCTCAGCATGACACAATACATCCACTGTCTCTTGGGCTTGTACTGAATTGACTTTTACTGCTTATTGCTTCATCTCAAATTCCACTTCTTAGTTCCTCATGAAAGATGGTGGTGATGATTTTCACAAAATAAGAACGTCTCATGTAAATTCCCTGCCTGCTCTATGTCATGTCATCATGATAATACACCCTAGAGGGAATTCCTTCGCACTTACGCCAAAATGGGTTTGCACTTTTTCCAGAATAACAAAGGAATCCTCAGAAATTCCTGTGTCATCTGCCCGGCCGGCCTGAGAAAGAATTCAGAGAGGTCTGCGAGGTCCCGCTCCCTTTATTGTTGATTCAGCGGCACACACCCCCACCCAGCACCCATAAATGGAGGCAGCCCTTTGTGCGAGGGGAGTGGAGCAGATTTACTGCGGATGGTCCCCCTACAAAGGACCACGGCACTGTCACAACAGGACCAGGATCAGCTGCTCCCTCTTTCACACAGTATGATTTAATGCCGTGCTTCACACAGCCACTGATGCAGACACAACTTCTGCAGTCACTCTGTACCTCACCGCAGAGCAGCGAGAGGCCTCTCCGACACATTTTGGCCAACACTAAGATGACTTATTTTACTTTCGCGTACTCCAATTCCAGTCTTACTATCGTGCTGTGAGTCCATTTACCAGATTTTCCCTCTACGTTAATAGTGGCCAAAATAATTCTTGGTAACAATTGTATTGTGATATCTATAAAAAATGTAAACATAACAACGTTGTGTTTAAATGTGTTTACTGTGCTCTTGTCTGTTCTTGCAAATTGATTATGCTCAAAATACAGGTGTGATTCAAGACACACTGGATGGTATATACTATATTATTATCTGTTTTATTGACAAGTTAATAGCATTATTTTATTTTCAATACAGGTTTATCGCGACAACTCTAGTCAAGAAATCCTTTAGTCAAATAAATAAAACTCTACAATAAGATGTATAGAAATCAGCCAGATAATCAATAGTACATGCCTCTAATGTGCTAAGTGTTATCCTCAGGAGGGTCAAGCTTTGACTTCAGTTTATTAAAACATAATTCTTTTAAAGCAGCTATATTTGTTTAACTTTGCAAAGTGGTCATAGGGTTCCTATTGGCTCATCGACCCATACAAAAAATGCCCTGGGCCAAATGGCATTTTCATCTCTCCAATAACGTTTGGGTTTGGTTTCCTCCACCAGTCTCTGCTACGTTGACTTCGTTATTGTGAAACAGAAAGAGCCGGCCCTTCTGTCTCTCCAGGGTTTGAGTTTCAGAGCGTTTAAAACTTTCAGCATGAAGGTGGCAAATCAGTGAAATTCACCATCAACACTCATGGAACTCTACCAGGCAGGGCGTGAGACGTCAAAATGGTAAAAGATGTGTAAAATCGGATAAATCAGCATGAAATCTCATCAATTTTTCATGCCTCTTTGTGCTGTATAAACGTCATTATCAATTAGACTGGGCCAGATTTTAAGTTTAACAGACGTCCTCCATTTACAGTAACAACATCCATCTGTTTGCATGTATTGGTTTTATGCCAATGACAACTGCACATTTTGGGCATGTCTCCCTGCCTCTCTCACAACTCTGGGTTTGGTTTCCTGCACCAGTCTCTGTAATGTCGACTTCATCGCAGTGAAACATGAGAAACTGGCCCTTCTGTCTCACCACATTTAGACTTTCAGAATTTATTTAATCGAAATAGAATGTGAATGAATGTCGCAAATCTGTGCAAATCTGTGAAATCCAACTTTCAACATTAAATAACAGTTGACATCCAACTAAATCTGATCAAAAACGTTATGTTGCCAAGAGAGGATTAAACAGACATCTTAAAAAAGTTTAACAAAGAAATCCCCCCCCCCCCCACACACACGTTGAATCAAACATGAGGGTGCCATTGTTTTTTTTATTACACCTACTTCTGCCAATAATCAAACCTGTTGCTGACTCTGATTCTCCACAAATGAAACACAATATCTTCACCAGTGATTTAACCAAGGGGCCACACAGACCTCTCTCAAGTCAGCGTTCATTTTGTTCTTACAAAAGTGCAGCTAATCTCTGAAGAAAGACCCCTTCACCTGCAGGGGTCCACCTGTTCGACCTGCTACATCTCTCCGGTTTCTCCACTCCCACTGACCCGAGACAATGAGGCCGGGGGGCTCGGGTTACAAGCCCGGGGCCAAAGTGGACATGAAAGTGCCGTTTGTGTGATTGGGAGGAACCAGGTAAAGGCATTTACACACCTTTTTGCTCACAGGGAGACACACACAGACCAGACTCAAGTAGCTATTTAAGCAATTTCTTTAGAGTTATCAATAGAAGATCGTAGTGTCAACAGGGATTAACAGTGTTGCAAGCAAAAATGTACGATTTTCTCCCCCTTTAACGCATCCATCCCTTTTTAAATAAATATAAAATGCAACGTAAAATAGATTAGGTTATACCATAGCATCCATGCTATGATGTTTATCTTTCCATATAAAAGCTTGCATCTGTTCTTCTCATCAAAATTGTTGTGGACTATCCAGAACAATGATGCAATCAGTGTTAATCATTGTCTAATTAATATTTAATTAGGTTTAGAGATATGATTTCAGTTGATCGTAAACAATTTTATTATAATACAAACTAATTACTGGATGAATGCGAAGGATTTCAAAGCATGACTGGATACATGTACTCCAGGCTTCACGTCATGTATGTAAACTGCAGATTTAAAACACTACAATTTCAACTGAAATGATTAAAGATTAAGAATTAGGTCTGGAGAATACTGCACAGTACTTTGACGTAAAATGTAGATTTATGATAGAGGATGTAGGAATTCCTAAAAATCATCATTACACAGCACTTACAACAGAAAAAAAAGACAAAAGAGGACGTGTACAACAAAGTTAAGACTCAACACTGACAGAGACAGAGACGCCTGGTTGTATGAATGAGGGTAAATGTATCTTTATCAAGAAAATTATTCCTTTTCATTAATGATAACAAGCGAAAGCAGACTATAAACATCAGTGGAGAGGATTGCGATGTTTTAGGATCTGATGCATCTGCTACCAAACCCACAGCAACAGAGATGCCATTCACATATCTTACATCTCCAGAGTCATTTGCTGCAATTAGGAATGTGGTTAAGACCCAAACGCACCCCCTTAGCCACTGCCTGCCAACACACCCTCATACAGAAACACACACTTACCAGCTCCAACAAAGCCCACATTGTGTTGTGTTCTGCTGAGGGATTGTGGCCCAGGCCGGTTCAAACTTCACACCAGCATCAAACAGGGGCAGATACATTGATAAAAGTGAGCGGGCGATACAATTAAGCTGTTTTATGTTTCCTGCAGGTTGATTATATCAAAGCTGTCGGATCATGTCACTGCTGCTGGTGGGTGGAAACATTAAACCTATTAAATGCCAGTTTTTCAATAACTATGAAGAGGATAGGGGAGTTTGTGGAGCTGTTTGTGAAAGATTTTAAGACCTGGATGAATGCTAGGTTTTAGCCAAAAAGATGAGCTTCTGACAATAGATCAGTGTTAAATCAGATCAATTGTGTTTCATGAACACATGATTAATTATACATGACCATGGTCCTTAGCAGGTGTTATTGATGGGTGCATGCATTAATAATTTACTCAGTTTTTCTTGGATGGATGACCGACCCTCAAACTAGAATATATTGTCTATGTTAAAGTACTCTCACAGTAAAGTTTACCTTCTATTCAGACTGATAAAAGCCCTGGCACTTTGACCTTTTACACTTTGACATGTGTTAGAATATTGCTGCCAATAGTCCTTGTTTATATATTTTTAACCAATGTGTAATACTGTACTTTTTGTGTGTACATGAATTGGCTTTCATTTTCTGTTTACACATTTACTTGCCTTGCATTGAGACAAAGTATTTTGAATTAAATTGAAACAGGATTTATCCTATCAAATCCTGATAGTTGAAATGCAAACACTTCTAAAGATAGTTTAGCCTTCAAGTGACCCACAGCAGCTTGTCTGTTTCTCTGACTAATTTGGGATGTTTATTTGTCCAGCTGACTGAAACACTTGCCGTTATACTTCACCCTACAACAGCAAAAACAACCAGAGTTAGCGTTTCCTTAGCTCTGTCATTACAACTGTATTGCAGATCATAGCCTTTTACAACTGTTGTCTGGAATTATTTTTTGACTTTAATTCCATTCAAAATACATTATTTATTTCTCAGGTGGGAAATATGCTTTTTCCCCCAGAAGACATTTTGACAAGTCACACTCAGAAAACACAAGTGTGGACAATAAAATCAAGATTAGATTACAATTAAGCTGCTTTATTGCTCCGTTTACATTATATCATTAATAATGCAATCAAGTCAAAATGTCTGCTGTAAAAAAGTTAGCAAGCTGGTTTTCAAACATTAAAAATTGCATCACCTAATGCATTCAAACAAAAACAATGTAAACATCTAGAATATAAAGATAAATTAATAAAACGTAATGAATTTGTGGCTAACCTAAAGTGTCTTATATTGTTAAGACATTAAGTTATTCATCATCCAACTGTGTTTCCATCCTTACCCTTGGGTATACTAGATACAAATGAATGAAGCAACTATCATCACTGGTACTGCTGGCTTTTACATTTTTTACTCAAATATATATGATGGAAAATAAACTAATTTAAACTGCAGTCACTTCCCGTGGTGGCCGCAGGGGGCGCAGTGAGGGGGTTCACCGCCCGGTGGGACCATGGGTGGGACACGCGCAGCGGCAGCCTGCAGTCAGACAGCACCGGGCAGAGAGGAGAGCAGCCGCCGGGTCACAGGCTCTTCACTTCGGACTACTGGACACACCTGGACCGCGCTGAGATGCTGCTGCAGGGAGGACCCACTGCTGCTTATGTTGCACTTTTATTTTATTATCATTTGCTGGAGCCAACTTTGGTGCTCGCCTTCAACCTGGACACCACTCATGTCATCAGGAAGGACGGAGAGCCCGGCAGCCTGTTCGGGTTTTCTCTCGCCATGCACCGGCAACTCAGCCCGGATACCAGAATGTGAGTGTTTCTTTAAATGTACAGCTCTGTCGCATTGTTTACATTAATCTGCCTGTGATTAAAAGTGCACCTGATGACGGGACAGGTTCAGTGTAATACTCACAGAAGTACATATTAACTTTTGAAAATCCTCAACCTTATTCATTAAAAAGGTCTAAATTAAGTTTATTCTGGAAAGGAAACTATTCTGCCTTTGCTTGAGTACTACAATCATTGTATCCACTTGTTGTGATGGCAGGCATGCTATAACTTGAGAAAGTGACCTAACTATAGGAGCCCATAGTGCTTCTTGTCGTGTTTTGTTCTCATTTTCAAAAGAAGTTTCCCTGTGGTGCTTTGAATATAAAATGGTAGGAAGCCAAAAGACAACACGGGAATAAACAATGGTTATAACTGTGATGCAAATGTGCATGTAAGGTCCAACTGAGGAGGAGAGAGCAGAGCTGTAATGTTGCCACTTTAGGTCGATCAGTTATTGTTGAATATAGTATTTTAATAGACAATTTATACAAAACGAGATTCTCAGTAATAATTGGAATAAATAAAGAATAAATGATAGATTGATGGAAATAATGCTACATTTCAGCCCGAGATAGATGATAATTAAACATGTTTTTGTAATCCCAGTTTTTCTAAGAGAGTGTTTAGTGAAAGTGTTGCATTCATTTCATTTCAAACCTTTATTTATCCAGGTTGTATCCCATTGAGATCATTGATCTCTTTTTCAAGGGAGACCAAACATTAACATTGTTCCTGTTAATCAGTAATCTCTAATGAGTGTTCTGTAAAACAGAACAGACTTAGCAGGTGTATTTCCACACACCAGTTGTATCTCTAAACTGTGATTTATGAACAATACTGAGAAAGGATGTGAATGGCAAGTTAACATAAGCATCCTGTTACAGAAAGACAAATGCAGAAACGATGCATGCCAAGAGTTCCGTTTTCAGCTTGTGCCAAAAGAAGAGTAGTGGTTAAACTGCAAAGCAGCATTTCAGGGATTCCTGATGCTGCTATGTATACAGTCAATAATTTCCTTTGGCACGCCCTGTGGGGGCAGCACAGACGTCAGTGTAGTGAGCCTGTCTGGACAGCTTGCCACGCATAGTATGACGAGGGTAAAGTGAGAGGGGGTGGCATATCAAAGCCTGCGACCAGCGTGAGGCTGCATGTAAGATCTACATTGTTATCCGCTGGTTAGCCAGACAGGACCCAGCACGGATAAGAAGCCCTCATGACAGAACCTGGAGAGATTTCCCAAAGATCACATGGATTGGGTTTAACTTGTGGAATTGTATCTAAGAAGTGTTTTGACTATTGTGCAACAGAAGCTCATGGTGTAGTGAATGTTTTCAATACACCTAGCATACACAAGAAGCCTGCATCCTTAAAAAAGGCACTTTACATTTGAATTGACACGTGTAAAGAGAGTGAAAGTAATATTTGTTGAGCAAACAGGGGCTCGAAATGTGACACTGGTGTGATAGTTGCTCCTCACCCAGTAAAAGTAAGAGGAGCGTGAAGATTCACCTCGCTTACAAACTGATGAAGGAGCTGCTACAGTTTAGAGAAATCTGCCAACATCTGCAAAAGCTGCTTTTTGAGAACAGGAACAAACAGCATCATTGAATCACTCTGTTATTGTTAAGTTAGATTAGTATTAAAATAGATAGAAGGCAGCAATAGTGACTTGACAGAAGGAAATACATTTGCAACAGTATTAAATGTAACAATGCAAAAAAAGAGCTCCCAGTTTAAGAATTTGCTCGGACAGTACAACTATTCTTTAGACGTCACCTTGGGTTCTCGGGAAACTTGAAATAGGTCTTTTTTAAAACTATTTTCTGATGTTTTACAGGCTTAACAACTATAGTTTTGGTCTGGCAAAAGTTAAAAAAAGAAACGTCAAAATCTCCTGAAGCCCGAAGTGACTCTATCAAATGTTATCAAATGTTTGTCTCAAGTCCCAGACTGAGAAATCATTCAAATTATGATCACACAATGAAAAGAAACAAATAAATACATTTACATTAGAGAAGGCAAATAGCAGATGCTTTTAAATGCTTTAAAAGTGACTGAAACCATGAACCAGTCTTTCATTTCTGTCAACTCTCTGACTACTGGACAATCAACTACATCCTCACATCCTGGTTGAAACCACATTGAGTCGTTGTTTCAGTAAAGAAGCGCTCCACGTGCACGTTATTGTTACCGACAGCAGCTCCTCGGCCATGATCTCAGCTCCACATCCTCATGTGACCCTGAGATTATATCAGCCAGACGAGTCGAGTGAAAGCTCAGTAGAGCACACAGAAGTCATGAACATCCCCGTTTAACCTTTAGCTGTGAGCACATTGAAGCCATAGATGTGTCACACACTCTGCATCTGTTTTATACTTTTCTGATAGTCACCAGCAGCTGTAAAACTCTACCGGCTGTCACTGCTTACATTAATGTGGTTTTAATGAATCATATGTGAAGAGAAGGGTTATTTTGAGTGTTTTGTGAGCAACATGTGTGACTAAATAGATTAAATTCTTCCACACCGACCCTATCGACCCCCTGCCCTTCAGAGCTAAAAGCCTAATCTTCCCCACTTTACTGGAATAAAGAAAAAACTAATATTCTAATGATAAAAGTTATTTGTTATTCATATTGCTTACAACAAATCATGCAACTCTCTCAACATTGTTCCCCTAATGGCTTCATGGACAGCACAACCTCTCTCAGTCCTAATGGTGTTGTCATGTCTTCCTTAATATATTGGTTTGTGATGAGTGGAAGAAATATCCATGTTTCAACAAGAGCCTGAACATAATCTTGCAAAGAGGCAAGTGGGTGCCCCTCCATGAATAATGTGTTGGGTTAATGATGTGGATATAACATCCTCTGAATGAAACCAGAGAAAACGGGTATTTGACTGGACATGCACGGCCATCTGTGCACATGTAACCCGATAGATTAAACCCATCAGTGAATCCTTGCTCAAGACATTCCAGTCAAACTGTAGCTCCAAATATGGTTAATAAACACAGATAAAACGGGCGATTACGTTTGGGTTTTAAACTTGTGTCTTTAGTTTATATTGATTGCTTTGTGTTGAATATTCATGATATCTCCTGGGATGTGTACCCAGCCAATCACAGGTCAGCACCATCAGTGTGTGTTTGTGTGTAAACTGAAACAGTTAGAACAGCTGCAGCACTTCTTGTGTCTTTTGAGTGCACAGCTGTAGCAGCACTGGACCACATCTGTTAACACAGGCCAGTGAGATCACTGTATGTAAACCCACACCAGTCAGTGTGTGTTCCCATTTACACGGCTCTGAAACACGCTGCATGATGGGATAGGGTTTCCTACTGTAGTGAAGCTGATACTGGATTAAGGCTCTGTACAGTGCAGATGTAGTGTGCGTTTACAGTAAAGAGTACATACTGATGCTAGTTTGCAATGCTTATCTATCTATCTATCTATCTATCTATCCATCTATCTGCACGCAAACATTGCATTATTTTATCTTTCTGCCGGAAACAGACAGGATATAATACTAGACGGGCACGTTGCATGTACATTTTTAGTGTTATCCCTCAGTTACTTGCTAAATTGTATAAATGTCACCTTCCAGAGATGCTATGCTGTTAAGCTGATGATATTTCCCTACTTTACAATAACAATCTGAACCCAAAGATATTCTATGACAAAGAAAAGCATCAAATCCTGACTAAGGAAGCTCGAAACAGAAAATATTTTGCATTTTTGCTTAAACAATTAATTGATTGTCCATAGATGATTTATTGTGTAGATTGCAGTGACAAATATATGATACATATTATAGTGTTAGATTTCTCTTATTTAAACAACAGCGCCGTCAATGTATCTAATGTTCCTGCAGTTGGTAGAGCTAAAGCTGAACAGTCCACTTTGTAAAGGCTCTTGTTTGTATTTGCATTTCACTGGGCTTTGTTTAAAGAGAGGAATAGCAGTTTGGTCTTCAGTCTCACATCAGACCTCCTCAGAAGAGTCCTTGTTTAACAAATGAAGAGCCGCGGGGCCGGCCCACAGATCAATAGGTTACCGAGGGAACTGCAGAGTCACAGGGAGGAGGAAAGGGGGAAGAGGACTTCCTATCTGTCTCTTAACAAAATTCCTACACATATTGGTAAACTCAAACATGGGAGTGCAGCTTATCAATGTGACATGTGCCATATTTAGTATTTAGTTCACATTAAAGGACATTTCATACAGTGATAAAAACTCTTATTTGTCGTCCAGTTTTGACAATTTTACTAAAAATACTAGTATTAAAATCTTACGTATCTTGTCAGGCATTTTGTTTTTCGGGTAATAACAGGATAACACTGTCCTTGGTGACTGACGGATCCACTATTTTTCATTTTCAGGGTTACAGGCGCAGTTTAGCACAAAAAGTAGCACAAAATGTTTTGCCAATTTAGAGGTTCACTCAAAACTATTAGTGACGTAATGAAAAACAGAAATATATTGCTAGATAAGATGCATTTTAATTTAATCACACAAAGTAGTGGCCTTCAATTGTCAGAGGGAAATTAGCTTGTTTCTCAGTATGACTTTTCTGTGAAACCGACAGGAAATATTACCTGGTTTTGGTTTTTACCTCTTCACCTTGCAACATACTAAGGAGCTTGCAAGAGACACCTGAGGGAGTGTTACAGTTTACAATTACTGTCAGCAAGTTGTCACCCCATTTCAGGCTTTAGGATTTGCTCATGAAATGCATAATTTTTAAATTACAAATATGTCTAGACAGGAATGTCCCGGTTGTCCCTAAGTATGTATTTGTGAGGTGACATTCACCTGAACGTTCTCCTAAATTGAGATCCAAATTACGTAAAGATGCAAATTTGATTTGCCACCAGATGACATTTTTTAAACTACAGATTACCTTGAGCCCTTTTTTTTGTCAACGCTAAGATATTACAATCCCTGGTTTAAATTCACAATGATGGGCCTTTTCACATAGAGTGACAGACTTCTTTGATCATTATCTGTGTCTATAACAAGTTGAGGAACCCCTTTCATCAGATAAGCGTTGCGTCACCCGGTGATGGCTGTCACCCGGTGATGGCTGTCACCCTCGCTTGTCTCTTCATGCCTGTCGAGGCTGTTTGAGGATGTGGGTTTAGAGTTCAAGTTGAGCTCAATGAACTGACTGAAAAAGCTCCAAATTGTCTGCCTCACTGCTCCTTTGCCCTCTGCTGAAGAGAAAGGACAATAGTCCACTGTGCCGTACTGACATTTTGTTCCTTATCCCAAAATACAACAGCTCTTTGTTAGGGATGCCAGAAACTGACCATGATCAAATTCGAAAATCGGACAGCCCTTGCGAATATTAATCGATTATTCACCGCCCCCACCCCCCCGCCCCCCGCGGGAGAGAAGTATTTTTGCAGAGCTTGCATTTTACTTCATTTGCACTTGTCAGTTCGAAGTAGTTCCACGAGGAACTCTTCTTTGTTCATCTTTAGTTGTGTTGTTCTCACTGTTCTGTATATCGCCAATAAATCAATCGCACGTGTGACGGAGGGGGGGTGGGGTCGGTGTGCAGCAGGCTGTAGCAGGCAGCAGCAGTCTGCACTCTGCGCAGCCTGCGCTGCTGGCTTCCTCCAAGTTTACAGTAAAACAAACTGGTGGTGTGACCAATGGCCATTTACAATTATTAATACTATTACTATTATTAGCATTAGTCTATATGTTGGTTGAAACTAAGCCAGGAAAAAAAAGAAAAACATAAATAATAATAAAAAAATATATAAATAAAATCGAATTTTAAAAATAATTTTCGATTATGGAGACTGTAACGAATATTCGAAAAATCGAATAATCGCTGGCATCCCTACTCTTTGTACACAATCAGCTTTTCACAGGCTGATCATGCTGACTCATAGCTCCTGGGAAATATACAATCTATGCATTAACCAGAGGCAGTTGTGCTCTTTATGTTAATATCACCTTCTGAATCTCTTCTTCTTCTGAAGTACATTTTCCTGGATAAAAAAAAAAAAAGATGAAATGGTAAATATACCTGGAAAACATGACGATGTAGAATAGAGTAGAATCGTTTAATGTCATTATACAGGTACAATGAGATAAATAAATGCTTCTCCCCCCCAAGGGTGCCATCAAAACAAACAAAAAAACATCACAACACAAGACAACAAATACACGCAGCTTACAGGAATAGGAATTGTCATTACGGGCTAACACAGAGCTGAAGGTAAATGAGGTTAACCACACACACATATTCATATACTTATAGAAAATGCAAGAAGCCAACCAATTGTTGGTTCAGTGTCTTGCTCAAGGACACTCTGACACTCTCTGCTGGAGCCAGGGATCGAACCAGCAACCTTCTGATTGATAAACAACAGCTCTGCATCCCAGACTCTCACTGTGTCCAAAAGTCCCTCTACACATGACTAGAATACTGTTTAGGCAATTAGTATTTAAAAAGAAAATCAACATACTATATACACACTGGAAATGTGTGCAACATGCAGCGTCTTTAAACTTTATGTGCCGTTGAGCATATCTGATTCAGTCATGGTTACGAGGTGAACAATGCTACAACAAAAATAATTGCTTAGAATTAGTATGTAGTGTTCATTTGGACATTTAAAAAATATGGATTCAGAGCATTTTATTATTTATGTTACGATCTCCTGGTTTTTGACCTGGTTTGATCCGACAATGCCTTTCACTGGAAGCGCTGGTATGGGGTCTCCTGTTTTCCTTCATATTTATTCAACAGATCCCTCATTGTCTCACATAGAAACTATTGGGGAAAAATGCAACTCCTTTACATCTTCTGTCAAAATGTTACCAAGTTTTTCCATTAATTTGTCACTAATTTATATTGTTTTCAAATAATATTTTGCCCATCATTTTGCCTTTTTTGGACACAGAGTAGTCGGAGTAGACACAGACAGGAAACAGAGAGAGGGTAGGGGGCCAAGAAAAAACCTTATCTACCCTATTGTTCTTAGATCCTGTTGTTACTGGCGGTTATAGTTATAGAAGTATGTGCAGCACAGCAAGCTGCATGAAATACAATAGGAGAAAAATGTCAATCTAACACAAATGTCAAATTTACTGTCAATGGCTTTTTTCTACAGTTTGTCTCTGACAGACAGGCACAGCAATGAGGAAGTAAAACCAAATCCGTAACCAACAGTAGCCACAAAGTCAGCTTTGACAAAACATACCATAACAGACAGATGGCATGCTGCAAACTTTTTCTAGAAAGGAAATGCCATTTCTGTCACAGTTGCCGTTTATCTTCTCACATACATGTACTAAATTCAACAAGCTGCTGCTCGGCATCTCAGAAATGTAGAAAGAAAATGTACTGAAGGTGTAGCCGGTGAAGGTGATGACATGTTCCTATCAAGACGTAAACCTCAGCACTATCAATAATCTTAAAATGCTTCAGAAAATAAAAGTTGGAATGTATTTTCTTTCCTTCAGGCTGCTGATAGGAGCACCCAGAGCCAGAGCTTTGGGACAACAGACAGCCAACATCACAGGAGGCCTTTATAAATGTGAAATCACTCAGTCCAATAAATGTGAACGCATCCAATTTGATAGTGAAGGTGAGTTCATCTGCCTGTCTGGATACACTGTACTGTTTCCAAAAGTCAAGTAATTTAATATACAGTGCTGACATGTTTGTCTTGTTTTGCTACATTTTTAAAGAGGATGTGCGTTTTGAGAACAAGGAGAATCAGTGGATGGGGGTGACGGTGCAGAGCCAGGGGCCGGGGGGGAAGATTGTGGTGAGTCAAACTGAGCGTCTGAACTAAAAACTAATGCAAATACATCAGAAAACGCTGTTTGTGGCCTGGTAAATTCCCAATTGTACTGTTTTTTATATACATTAACCATCTTTGGGTTTTGCATTGTAATAAAAAGCCGTTTTTAAAAAGCTATCACCTTGGACTTTGAGGAACTAAGATGGAAATGTTTTACTATGTTCTGACATTTTATATACAGAACAACTACGAGTCTGTATTAGTGTTCCAAGTAACCTTCGGTCCTGGTTTGGTGTTATCTCTTATTAATGAATGAACTTGACCTCAACGGTTTTTCTGTCATTTCAGACTTGTGCTCATCGCTATCAGAGGCGCTTGTATGGGAACACCCCTCAGGAGTCGCGGGACATCACCGGGCGCTGTTTTGTCCTGAGCCAGGACCTGACCATCGACTCCAACTCGGATGAGGACGGAGGAAACTGGAACTTCTGTGAGGGCAGAGCCAGGGGACACGAGATGTTCGGATCCTGCCAGCAGGGTTTAGCTGCCACCTTCACCAAGGATTACCACTACATTGTGTTTGGAGCACCGGGGGCTTACAACTGGAAAGGTCACTAACTAGTCAAACACACCAAAACATGATGTTTCTAAAAGTCTGCTGAAAAGTATCAGATGTTGTTACCTCTCAGTTCTTTTCATTCTGAACTAAATATTTCTGCAGGTATTGTTCGAGTGGAGCAAAAGAACAACACTTTGCTGGAGATGGGAGTGTATGATGACGGCCCGTATGAAGTTGGAGATGAAAATCTATTGAGACCCGAATTTGTGCCGGTACCTGCCAACAGCTACCTTGGTGAGCATCTAAAAAACAGATGTGGCTGTATGGGGGTCACTAGCATCCTGTTGGTTCAGCGATGCACTGTTGTAACTTCCTCTGTAGGTCAAAGCATTTCTCACACATTTGGCTTGAGCAGTATGAGATCAGTGTTCACAAGTGTGTGAAAATCTGTGATGTTTCACTGAAGAAGATAAATGAACAGATGGGTCGTGGGACTAAAGTTTAGTAGACTGTTCTCACAGCAGACATGTTGTCAAACACAGGAATAACATTGAGTAGCATCGAAGTAACTGCCCGAGCCAAGCCTTCCTTAACGGTTTCAGTTCTACACATGTTGTTGCCGCTATAACAAATCAATATTTTGTTGCAAAACAGCTCTTTGAATCAGCTTTGTTTGGAATAATAAAAGATACAAGAATGAGGAAAGGTTCTCAGTTCGATTCCACAAAAAGGGGATTTTTGTTGCATCACTCTCTTTTTCCCCTTGCTAGCTATCCTCTCTCTGCTGCCTATCTGAAACAATCATACAATACAGAGGAACTCAGTTTAATTTGCACATCTAAAACTAATGAGTTGAAAGGAAACCTGTAGGTCAGGCTTTAGATTTTCTTAGAAATGTAAAAACGGACTGATAGTATTGTTACCAGTCGATTAAATGTGTAGCTGCTAAAGTTGGGCACAACAGAAACGGTAAACATTAAATGCAGGACGTGTTCGGTTAAGAGATATGTCCTTGTTGCTGCAAAAGCAAGTCCTACTAGTCAACGGGAGGAAACTGCATGGAGACGGGAGGACATTGTGAATCTGTGCAGGTGTTCACCCTCACCCTCACAGTGGGAGACAGCAGTAGGAACGGCAAAAGTGGGAAACTCATTATCCCAAATAAGGGAGAAAAAGGGGGAAAAAGAACAATGCTCTATAGTATAAAATAAAATAATTGTTTCTTATAACATCTCTGTTACTTTAGGATTCTCCCTCGATTCGGGATACAGCATCACCAGGGGGCGTGGCCTGACGGTGGTGGCTGGAGCACCCCGAGCCAATCACAGTGGAGCTGTGGTCCTGCTGAAGAAAGAGAGCGAAGTCTCCGCCAGACTCCTGGAGGAGCACATTCTGCACGGGCCAGGACTCGCATCCTCCTTCGGATACGACCTGACCGTGGTGGACCTGAACGGTGATGGGTAGGAAAAGTTTTCAACGCCTTCTCTCTTTTTCAGTATAAAATATTTTAGATTTTAGAAAAGGACCCGATTTCCTTAAAAGATCCATTTATTATAATAATGTTATCTTATTTGTTTAATGTATAATGTCCACGTTTGGCTATCAGTGGACTTAGATTTAGGAGGTTATACTCTGTAGCACACAGTTTACTTAGGAAGTCATATTCTAAATGACATTTCCAAATATGTGCCTCACTTCTTTGATCTAGATGGCAGGACATCGTTGTCGGAGCCCCTCAGTTCTACATGAAGGACAGAGACATTGGAGGAGCCGCTTACGTCTACATCAACCAGGCGGGACGGTGGGACAAAATCACTCCTGTCCGCCTGAACGGGACCAAAGACTCAATGTTTGGATTGGCGGTGGAGAACATCGGAGACATCAATCAAGATTCATATGAAGGTAATGTCGCTGGCATTTATTTGCTTAATTTACGTTTTCTTAAATTGTCAAGTAAACCTGTTTTTTCCCCTCGTACAGACATTGCCATCGGAGCTCCGTATGATGACGGCGGTGCAGGAAAGGTCTATATTTATCATGGCTCTGCAGAAGGAATCAAAACCAGCCCAGCACAGGTCGGTTTGTAGAGCTTTGTTTAAAGTGTCTGTAATTGAAGCGCCTTTTGAGCCCACTGGTTACAGCACCATGCCATATAACTGGGTTTGAATCCAGGATCATGTAATCACCCCCTCTTTCTCATTTCTACATCGTCATCTGGCAATTAAAGCCTAAAATACAAAAAAATAAATATATCTATGGTGCTTTTACTAAATCATTTGCTTACCCCTTGAAAACTGACACATTTCTAATGCAATGTTCAATGTTCAAAAAGTGAGTTATTGCAGGTTTGAGCTCTATAAGAAACTTTTCATATGTTAGAGACATTAACTAGTCTCAATCCAATTCTGTGGAAAGGGGCTTGCAAAACGTTATTTCTTATGATGTTCAATAAAGTATTTTTGCTCTAAAACTTAGACTTATTGAGTCACTGTCAAAAGTCTGAAACTCAGTTTTGTTCCCAATACTAGAGTAGTAGAATTGTACTATTGTGTTCTTCTTTTCATTACGGAACAGTTCTAATTATTTATAAAACTGTTCCTCTTCCATTACAGATCCTCTCAGGGAAAGAGCACAGCATGCGCCTCTTTGGATATTCTCTGGCTGGGAATATGGACTTGGACAGTAACTCGTATCCAGACGTGGCGGTTGGCTCTCTGTCGGACACAGCTCTGATCTACAGGTACTGTCATTATTACACATTATTAGTCAATTTGAACCCAAATAATTTGTACTATAACTTAATTTAACTTCTGTTCTTTCAGGGCACGTCCAGTCATTAGCATCAGGAGAGATGTCAAAATATCTCCACAGGAAATTGACCTTACAATCAAAACCTGTGGAAACAGCAATTGGTAGGTTTGGTTTTTCTAATATTCTTACATTTCAACAGAGCTCAGAATCCAAACTTTCCCTGTTAAAATGATTTTTTAAATGTTCTATCCTCAGCTTTGATGTGGACATGTGCTTTGCCTACAAAGGAAACCCTTCATCTTACAACCCCAAACTAAGTAAGTGAACTGGTTAGAAAATATATATACATTTTACAAATCCGAGATGTGTTCAGTTGTTCTTACACACATGCTCTCCTCACTCCTGCAGCTATCAGCTATTCTGTGGAGGCGGACGGAGAACGCAGGAAACACGGGCTAACCTCCAGAGTGATGTTCCTCAACAAATCCAGCACTGAGACAGACTACCGGTTTAACGCCACCTTGGACCTCCGCGGCCAAAACCAGAAATCATGTATCAAGATAACAGCCAAACTAAAGGTGAAAACATGTGTAGCACTTTTAACTTCTTAAATCATATACTACATGCATTTTAAAGCATAAAGATGTATTTGATCAATTATGGAGGATGTCTTTCTCTTATGTGATGGTAAACTAAATATCATTGGGTTTTCACATTTCAAATGAATGCTTAAGAAAATCTAAAAACGTTCACTTCTTTTTGACACCATGACAAAAGGATTAATCGATGCATTAGTTAATCAAGCCTTTATGTATGAGTTCACAAATTGTGACATGCATTCACATACATTTTTTGTTAAAATTGCTGCAGTGTTTTTGGGGGTAAGCAATTCAGTTTCTGCATGTATGCAACATGGTTTGCAATGACAGTAAAAGCCACAGAATATTTTGTCACATTTTTCCAACCTTAAAATTGCTGAACTTCTAAGGCAGCACTGAGGTGTCGAGACAAGATTTTAAATTTCAAAACATGCCTATAGCAAAGCATAAAGTGAAGTACTGCTTATTGTAAAGTAGTAAAGTATACTTAAATAACAAAACAAAGAAAGATGCTACAATGCCCCATACTAAGTGTCTGTTTGTGATGTGCACAGGACAACATTAAGGACAAGCTGCGGAGCATTCCCATTGAGGTGTCTGCAGAGATTGTGGGTACCAAACGACAGAAGTCAAGAAACGGCCTACCCCAACTCATGCCAATATTAGACTCCTCTCAACCGAGCAAAGAAATCATTGAGGTAAATATTCACACTACAACAGTTTTTAGTGAGATAATGACAAGATTTTCACAGTGGAGCACAGTCTGTTTATGGTTTTGTTATTTCAGGTCAACTTTGTAAAAGAGGGATGTGGAGGTGATAATATTTGCCGGAGTAATCTGAAGATGGACTACCAATTATTCTACAAACAAGGCAACCTAGAAGTGTACCCTCCATTACCCATGTGAGTAAAATATGATCCTATAACTGTCTTAAAACGAGGTGAAAATGCAGCCCTTAAATATGCTTGAAACAACCATAGTAAAAATGCTTTCAATTAAATTAAAGTGTAAAGTTAAAGCAATGCCTCGACAGACAATTACAATGAGAGTTAACACCAAGCATTGCCACAAAAAGCTCTTTGTTTTTTGGGCTACATATACTGTACGCTGTATGGTGGAGACTAAGTGCTCCAGCAACACTGATATGCAAGCAGAACCAAAACACAAGTTCAGACAGTACAACACTTGCCAGCACATGAAATAAGAGATGTGAAATACAGAGCTAAAATAGACTTTTTAAGTTCACAAGCTTCTGCTTCTCTACCTACATGTATGTTGTTCTGTGTCTGCTGGTGTAAACAGCTTTCACATGCAGTATATATTTATGTGCTTTTTATTTAAAAAAAACTCAACCTGAAGTGAGTTGAAATGTTTGTGTTGTTTACAGCAAGAACAAAGTCCCTTTGTTTCATCTGAATTACGAGAAGAAGGACTTGGCTCTGCGTGTGACAGTCAGCAACATGAATGAAGATGATGCATATGAGGCAAAGCTGGTGGGGACTTTCCCCAATACGCTGTCATATTCTGGGGTCCGGACAGAGCCTACTACGGTAAACATGACCAGGGATGGAGGGAGAACTACTTAACTACAAATACTGTCAATGACAGGACATTTTTACTCGGAGCAAGTATAATTACTTTGATAAAAGTAAAAAGTAGGTCAGTTAAAATGTCCTCTCTAAGTAAATGTTACTGTGTACCATTTATGAAAGCCAAAGGGGAGCTGGGGGATACATAACAAAAGTATTCAAGGATGATAACAATGATCAGAAGGAAGACCCAACAAATGTTATAACATATTAGGACCACAAAGGTTGCATTGACAGGTCACCATCCCACAACCACAACATCCTCCTTTAATATAGGCCTATGGTATTTTGCAACCTGTGCATACACCTGATTATCAGTTATACAACAGACTTCTTCTGGCTAACTTAACACGAATAAACCAGAAAAGAGAACAAAACTGACCGACAAAGACATTGACAAGCTACGAACACCTTGATGGGTGCAACAAGCCTCGTATAAATTGACATTTCTGACAAAAAAACATTATACCGACATGTATAAAGAATAAAAACAGTAACAGCCACTAACACACATTAAAGCAAACTGGGAGCAGCACAGTTTTGGCACCACATGTATTCAGGGCCGGCCCTGACCAATTTGCTGCCCTAGGCAAGATTTTAGCTGGCTCTCCCCCCCGCGGCCGCTTACACAGTAAATTCCAATGTTAATAAAAGCACACAGAAGCTGGATACGTTTTTACACAAATACAAAATGAAAACCTATAATTGCACACTAAAACCATTATTTCAAAAAAAGAACAATTTCACATAAACCTCTGGTTTTTACTGGGGCTGGGGCAGTTCAACTTGATTTGGGGGGGGGGTGCGCCATAGTTTATGGGCACTGTACGTAATATAGGCGTAGTTCTGTTAGTATAAGATAATAAGATGTACTTTGTTGATCCAAAATCGTGAAATTGTGTTGTCATGAAATTTCAAAAAATATATATTTTTCATTTCTAACTTTTTTTTTCTCCCCAATTTTCGGCGCCCCCGATGGGTTGATGCACCCTTAACATTCGCCTATACTGCCAAGGGCCGGTCCTGCATGCATGTATTCATAGTGCACACCACTCTGCCTTGTCTAGAAAAGAAGTGTGTTGTTGTACTCACTGGTTCAAATGTCCCTCCTTTAGTCACAGCACAATCCTCCTCACCTGCTCCAGGTTGAATGTGTCTGCTGCTCGTCCATCTCAGTGCATATAGTCAGTCCACTCGGCCTAAAAAAAAGTGTTCAAACATTTAAGAGTTAATTTAGCCTCTGCAGTCAAAGACAACAGTTCACAGAACATAACAGTTTCTCAGTAGAAGCAGAAGCAGAATACACCTGTAGGTTCAGGATCCACAACACAAGCATGTTAGCATTCAGCATATTAGCATATTTACCGGTGTTAGCCACACCCAGAATGCACCTGTTGTTACCATAACAACATGGGTGTGTTTGATTTGGATCACCTTGCGTGCCGGCCGGGTGGGACATTAAATCCGTTTTTACCAATGTCTGTATGAAATAGATGTATTACTCTGTAACAACCCTATTCGACTAGAAATGTAGCACAGTACAATACTTCAGATAAAGAAATACGTAATAATAAGAAGGGTAATATTATATTCACTAATATTTAATACACAGAAAACGACTTTGTCAGAGTAATGAGAGATTGTTTTGGGTTACTTCCACCCCTACAGTGCAGAGGAGCACTAGCGACCCCATGTGGGTGCTATGCTAATTTCACATGAGATCAAATGTTGCATCTGTCAATGGCAACATTCAACTAATTGTTTGAATACTAGCTGCAACAGACAATATTTAAATTGGTACCAGAAGGAATGGATAACCTGGATAAATACAACATGTTTGTATGTTAACACATTTTGTTAAACTAGTAACATGTAGACTGGTTGCATGTTCAAATGCTACAGATAACTACTGAATTCAATAGTTTAGGACATAAATCAGCCAATTGACAGCCATTGGCATGAAATACTATTAATGTAACAACCCAGTGTAGTCTAATTAATTTATGACTACTAATTGATTTTTGATTTCTAAGTAATACCTTCCTGATGTAACTGTAAATTCAATGTTTAAATACATCTTTTTGATCTTTTGCAGACGAAGAAGCCGATCATCTGTACAGCCAATCTGAACGGCTCTCAGGCAGACTGTGAGCTGGGGAATCCTTTTAAGAGAGGCTCAAAGGTACGACCATGTCTCACATCTTCATCCTGCCACCTAGTTGTTGTACTTCAAATGTGAGAAACTGTTTTTTTTCTTATTTTGTCACCAGGCTACATTTTACATAATCCTGAACACTGCGGCGATGACTCTTGACACTACAGAGATTGACATCAACCTGCAGCTCCAAACGTAAAGACTGCTGCTACATTTTTTTCCTGTATTTTCATATAAGGTGCCATTAACCTAAATAAAACTAATTATGTTAACCAATCTGTTTATTTTTTCCTCCAGGACTAGTGTGCAAGAAAATATTGTCCCTGTTAAAGTGAAGGCTAGAGTAATCATTGAATTTCCACTGTCGGTCACTGGGTAAGTGTGTTAAACCATTTTTCTTTTTACTACAAGTAACTCTCCAGTGACTCCAACAGTATGTGAAACAAATATTTTTGCTTGTTTTCATCAGGGAAGCCAGCCCTAATCAGGTTTCCTTCGGAGGTGTTGTGAAAGGGGAAAGTGCCATGAAGAAGGAGGAAGAGATTGGAAGTTTGATTACTTATAAATTCAGGGTACGTTTTTTTAACTGACCTGCCATTATATATCTTCTATTTTAATCACTGCTGTCAAATTCTTCTTAAATGGAATTGTGACATATTGATTTCTCCTTCAGATAAACAACTTGTGGAAGTCTTCTGTCAAAGCCTCACTTAACATTCAGTGGCCCAAACTGAACAAAGACGGTAAATGGCTTCTGTACCTGGTGAAGGTCACAGCCTCAGGACCGGAGGACGTCGTGTGCGCCCCAGAGACTGAAATCAACTCTCTCAAACAAATCCAGGCAGGTTTTTAAAACACTTTTATAATGAAATCAACCTTTGCCAGAATTCAGCCATTAATGGAAACAGTATATTTAACTAGAAGACATGTGTTTACAGGAGACCTTTTCTAGGACAAAACGTGAAATTGGAGAAAGGAAAAAAGTTGATAAAATGTCTTCACTGTCAGACAAGACAAAGGTTTTGGTGAGTAAGAATTTATTTAAACAATTTAAACATTATTGATGGTTTAAAATGTTAATAGACATATATCACTTTTTTCAGAATGTTGACAAATTGAGTATGTTTACAGTGTGGGGTTAGCACTAACTTAAGTAAAGGGTTTGTTATAAAGGTTATGATTGATGTAATCCCCCTTCCCCACAGACCTGTGACAGTGGGGTCAGGTGTGTGGTGCTGCGCTGCCCCCTGCAGGGCCTGGACGGGACCACAGTGGAGCTGAGGTCTCGTCTCTGGAACTCAACCTTTATTGAGGTAACAGGTTTGATCAGTTTTTAATAATTCTCCTCTGTGATTTGGTATGACTATTTTACCTGAGAATTTATTAATTTCTTCACTCAGGATTACGCCTCTATACCAAACATGCACATCGTTGTGAGGGCCTCGCTCGTCCTTCAGACTCAGGCTAAGAACATGATCCTGAAAACTCCTCACACTGATGTAAGCAGCTCAACAGATAACAACACACTGTTTATCTTGGTCCTAGCTCACCTGAACCTTTTCTCTTTTCCTATTTTGGTGTTTTATTGCAGGTTACACTGGCAGTGTCCCCTGAAGTTGCGGTAGCGCAGTTTACTGGAGTTCCCTGGTGGATCATACTGGTGGCTGTGCTGGCAGGCATCTTGATTTTAGCTCTGTTGGTGTTCCTGCTCTGGAAGGTGAGAAACATAGAAGTGACATCCACATGTCATCGAAGTGATACAGGATGTGAATAGGACTATATTGTGCCTTTTACTGATATCAGATCAGAAAATGTGTAGTATAACCATAAAAGATATGACAATAGGGCTGTGCGATTATGGCAAAAATCATAATCACGATTATTTTGGTCAATAATTGATATCACGATTATTAAATACGATTATTCATTGACTTTGAAAACATCCATTTATTGAACTTTAAAACAAATACAAATAATAATTTGAACAGTATCTTTTTAACTGTTGATTACCCTGAACGTATAATTCAACTGAAAAACCAATACAAAAATAAATTAAATAAATGATACATTTATATTTACATTTAAATAAATAATATCAAAAATAATAAATACCAATAAACAAGATCAACAAATATTTTGGAGTGCACTTCAACAAGCTACTAAACATATGTAAATATGATAAATACAAATAAATTAGACTAAAATAAATTAGATCAAATATGTTGCAGTGCACGGTCACAACCAAGCAAAGCAAAATAATCGTTTTTTACGATTATGTTGTTTTCGTAATTATGGCAGGCCAAAATCGTAATTGCGATTAAAATACGATTAATTGCACAGCCCTATATGACAAAGTTGTAAAAAGACAACTTAAAATATGAATTTTATCCCCTTGTTTTGTATTTTTTGCAGGTTATTGAAGAATAGTAAGACTTTTGGCTTTGTTGTGTTAATATTATTATGAATACAATTACATATTTATATTCAGTCAAAATAAGTATTAATTTAACCATTATTTTTGGACATTTCAAGACTAAACCCTAATGTGACTTTTAGTACTTGACTAAATGCTTTGTTTGTGTTTATAATAATAACAAAAACACGTGTATAGTTATCCTATAGGTTACAATATTCTGTAGATGTTCTGCAAATTGGGATGAAATATTTAGTTGTTTTTCAGGAGCCATTTGGGCATCCACACTGGACTCTCCAGATATTATATTAGATAGATAGGTACAGTAGTACTACTACTTAAGTCAATTAGATAAGTGTGATGTTAAGAAATGTTATTATTGATTCAGTTTGTATTAACACATCCTCACCCTTGCCCCCCTCAGTGTGGTTTCTTCAAGAGAGCAACTAAAGACGAATACGATGCCGCATATCAAAAGGCAGAGATCCTTGTTCAGCCCTCTGACAAAGACAAACTCTCTGCTGAGGCCTGATTTAAACTCTCTGAACAGGGGTAAACACTAGCTGTCAGCATGGAGTGTGATCAGAGCAACAACTAATGTACTCACTTTCCAGTCAATCAGCTGCAGAAAAATTCAATCAGACGCATATTGTACTGAGAGATTTACATTACAAAAAAAACGTTTACCCAAAATACGAGAAATATTTCATAGAGATGGGATTAAGGAGTCTGATGTACAATATGTGTCTCTGAATTTTGCCAAAAACTCTATGCATATTCCTACCAACAGGCTTAATCTTTTTTAACAAATGTTCTGCTCTGCAGGTACCTTCGCTGACATCGCTATTACTGCTTGGCTGTTGAATGCACCGTTCAAAAACTGCAAAGCATGCTTAACATCCTGCACATCTCTCCTCTTGTTGTTCAGTGTTCATGAATATTTCTGACATTTCTTTCAGTTTTAATGATGCATTGTGTTTTTAATCTACCTTTCCAGTGTGGATTCTTCAAGCGCTCCAAGCAAGAGGACAGCGTCCCTCGTTACCACGCAGTGCGGATCAGAAAGGAAACTCCTCCTGAGTATAAAGATGAAAAAGCCAAGCTTGATCCCTTTGATAAAAAGCAGTGGCTGACGACTTGGATCGATGATGAAAGTTACTCGTGACTCATTTTGAAGTTTGTATGATTTTTGCAGACAGGTATAACCTGAACTTTGTTGTTTTTTTTGTTCATTTTGTGATCAGGGATTTTTTTCTGAAGCGTTCATGTCTTTGATTTTTTTTACACTGTAAAGATGAAAATGTTTTGTAAGTTCTGTATATATTTAAATACTTCTGCACACTGTATATTTATTTTTTGATAAAAAAATAATCATATGCAGCCACATTTTCCTCAGTCTACACATGTCCTCCGGTAAAGGGCAAAGTTTACTACTGTTATATGCAGATGTGCTGTCTTACTGAAAGCCGAAAGTCTATGCAATGAAGGAACCGCTAGCTCAGTGCCAAGTGAATGTAAATGTTTCATGTCTCAGTACCTTCTGCCTTTTCTTGAATGACATTCAGGTACATTACCATTTCACAATAATTAACAGTGCACATGGGACCACGACCCTTAAACTCCAAGCAGGTGTTCTTTAAACTTCTGTTCTTCACTGTAGTGGCATCCACTGTGTTGTAGGTCATCACTGAAATAACACTTCTTGTTCCATGGGAGGAATCCAAAGGGAAAATGGGGAAAAGCAACTGAAATGTATGTTTGATAGATTAAATGTTTTTTGTTGAAGTATAATAAAATGCTTAAAAACTGATTGCAGCTGTTCTTTTTCATTGCCATATAAGTATTATACTTTATAACAGGGCTTTGACTAAGGATCTTTGTATTCTCCATTAATCTGTATTTAGTTTTCAGATTGATCAGTTAAGTCTACAAGCTTTAGGAAAATAGTAAAAATCACAATGTGAGTCTGCATGCTTGTATTCAAACCCAAGGATATTCAGTGTGCTTTCATATAAGAAAACAAATCCTCAAATCCATACGCCCAAGAAGGTGGAACTGTGTTAACGATAAGTTGATTTCCAAAGCAATTTGGATTTGGAATTGTCAATCTAAAGTCAATCAATTGTTTCAGATCCATAAAAGCAAGAAACTAACACAATCTGAACATCTCTTGAAAATATATCAAATCATTTGATCAAATCCAAATATTACAAGGACAGAAATGTCATTTATATTTATTTGCCAACCAAGAAACCACCACCTTAATCCAAAGATTTATTTAATCTTACTTTTTACAACAACCATTGCATTTACATTGAAACAAATCGTTATTTTTTCCACTCTATATAAAAACTATTGCATTGAAAATAATTATATTTATGCAACCAAATGACTCAAAACAGCTGAAGAATAAAAGGAAACAGGAATTGTGATGAATGTTTTGCATCAAAAAGATCTTAACCCCTAAGGAGAGTTCCCACTTTGGACAACTGTAGGAAAACTATCATTATATCAATATACATGTTAATTCCAGTTCAGTCAAATGTTAAACGAAAGCTTTTCTCCTGCTCTTTGCGCTGGTTGTCACACGATTTGGACACTTCCTCCACTCTTCTCTGCAGAAGAACCGAGTTCTGATCGATCCACTGCAGTGAATCCATGTGGGTGTTGAGAATCTTACAGATCTGCTGAAGCTGAGGAGGAGAAAACGGAGAGAAAAATAAGTTAGTTTAATTTGCAACAACAAATGTGTCAGAGAATACACTTGAATGAGTCCTCCTCTTACCGGGTCACTGGTGTCTGCCGGGCCACTGGACGTGTTCAGGTGCTCGATGATCTCCTTCAGGTCCTGAGACATCCTCTTCAGCTGAGCGTCCACGTTCTCGGCCAGTTTGTACGTTCTTTCACGTTCCTCGTCTGCGTTCTGCATGTAGATGGTTCCGCTCTGCTCCTTCACAGACTCCTCCAGCGGGCAGAGTAAGTCCTCCAGCTCCTTCTGTTGGGACAGGATGAAATCCAGCTCCTGGTTTAGCCTGCGCTGGTCCAGCTTCACCTTCTCCATCTCCTTGTGCAGGGATGTGATCTTCTCCCCGTTCTCCACTAGCATGCGGTCCCAGGCGTTCACCTGAGTAGCCTGCTGTAAGAAATGTCTCTCTTGGTCCTCCAGCTCAAGACTCCACTTGTTAATGAGACCCTCCAGCTGGGCATAGGTCATCACTGGAGGAGCTGTGGTTGTAGGGATTGCAGTTGCTGTAGTTGTTGTGGCGAGGCTCATGCCGGTTGAAGGTTTGAGTCCCAGTGAAAAGCCTGTCACAGCACCTGTTGTAGCGGCAGCAATGGAGGCAGGGACAGAGGCAGAGGGGATGGTAGCTGCCCCTAGAGGTTTGAGCATGAAAGCCAGAGCTCCACCAGCTGCTGTGGTTGTTGCAGCCGCAGTGCTTGCTGCTAAAGCTGGAGCTGCACCCATAGCGAAGCCTGTAAGGCTCGCTGTTGTAGCGGCGGCGGCAGAAGCAGCAGCAGCAGCTGCAGCAGCAGCAGCCGCAGGTGCTGCAGAGATGGGTGAAGCAAAGAGAGACGGGCCTGTAGCTAGGGTCGGCTGGATGGAGGCAGGAGGAGCCGGGGTGGTAGAGGGTTTAATCCCAAAGGCAAATCCTCCACCCTGGCCGGTTGTGGCTGCAGCAGTAGGGGCTGGCTGAGGCTGCATACCCAGAGTGAGGTTGGATGGAGCAGCTGTACCAAAGCTGAAGCCTCCTCCTGGGGCAGCGATAGGGGCAGCAGTGGTGGCTGCTGCGGTCGCCTGGACCTTGTTTGCTCCAAAGCTGAACCCTCCAAAAGAGAGACCCCCTGCTCCTGTAGTTGCTGTTACTGCAGCTGTAGGTGCTGCTGCAAGTTGGGGTTGAGCTGCAGGTTGAGTTTGAGCAGGAGTCCCAAAGGAGAAGCCCCCTGTTGCAGGGGCGGTGGTCTGTGCAGACATAGCTGTGCCAAGGGTGAACCCTGACCCGGCTGGAGGAGCTGCTGCGGAGCCCATACTCATCCCTTGTGCGGCGCCCATACTCATCCCTTGTGCGGCGCCCATACTCATCCCTTGTGCGGCGCCCATACTCATCCCTTGTGCGGCACCCATACTCATCCCTTGTGGGGCGCCCATACTCATCCCTTGTGGGGCGCCCATACTCATCCCTTGTGCGGCACCCATACTCATCCCTTGTGCGGCGCCCATACTCATCCCTGTTGCGGCGCCCATACTCATCCCTGGTGCGGCGCCCATACTCATCCCTGGTGCTACTGCTGTTTGTTGAGGAGTGGCCATTCCAAATGAGGCGGCGGGGCTCCCGAAAGAAAAGCCTCCGACGGCTGCTGTAGTCGCTGCTGGGGTGCCAAAGCTAAAGGAGCTGGCCGGGTTGGGGTTGGGGTTGATGGCGGCCTGAGGAGTGCCGAAGGAGAAGCCGCCTCCCGCAGCCGCAGGTGTGGAGCTTGCCATGCCGAAGCCCGGGGCTGGGGCTGCGGCTGCGGGCTTCTGGGTCCCGAAGGAAAAGCCAGTGGAGGCTTGCCCAAAGTTGAATCCACTCATTTTCGTTCGCAGAAGGACAACTTCAACACAAAGTCACGTTATCGTAAACAGATAACTCACAAAATGGTCACTTCCTCGCTGAACTTCTTCGGGTTTTGGCGGGTCACAAATACGAGCTGAACTGACGTAACCCAGGAAACGTTTATTTCCAACGGTTTTTTCAGGCTTCGACGGTTGATAACGTCAATCACGGGTTGTAAACATTGTGTTGAACCAGAAGGCGACCAAAAGCGAGCACAATATCCTTCTCAAAAACGTGGCCAACTGCGTCGCACTTTTTTCAAGCAGGCATTTCAGTCGATCACTAAAGGAAATGACGGCAGAAATTAGGACCAAACACTGTTGAGTTTAGCCCTGAGTGTTGTCTGCCAGCAAATAAATCCCACCTCCCTTTAGAAGACAGACAGGTGTAATGGCCAATCACAGCACTCATCAGACCACAGCTGAAATCTGATTGGTACAGTTTATTGCCTGAAGAACAAGTTTCAGGGAAATAAAGCCCAATATGTAACCCCCTATTTCCCAAAGAGTACTGATCTAAATCAAGATATCAACTCTCCACGCAGAAACGATCTGTTGCCAAAAAGTAGGCTAATACAAAAATATTTAGCACAGGCGCCTGCAAAATGATGGCGCTGATAGAAATGGCTCGCTATCGTTGCCGAATAAAACAGTTAATAACCGTCGCAAGTAAAACAAAAAGCAGACTAACAAAAAACGAAACTTAATATAAAAGACAAGATACTGCGTTACAAGGTGAAGAACACAAAGCACATGTTGTGTTATTAACGGCTGCAGTAGTTAACATTGGAATTCACACATTTATTTTTCATGTTTACTTTTTTTAAGATTGTACCCAATACTAATAAAACATCCCAATCATTGTATATGAGTTTTTGTGTTTCGATAATATTGTCATTACAAATTAAACCTGAACATATTTAATCCATTACGTTTTTTTTAAGTGTGTCTAAACAAAGATTCCCACGTCTACTATCTTGACGTTGTCATGACTCTCTGGGTTAGCTGGCTGTATCCGCACATACCATGTTTACATTTTTGCAAATATTTGTGCTATTAATATTTTAAGTAAAGGGTGATTTAGAAATATTGAACGGTTACTATGGATGCACAAATGTCACCACATCAATCCATAGGAGAACCTTCATTTCACCAGTGTATTTGTGGGCAGCAGAGTTAGCGTGTAAGCTAACAAAGATTAGCTTTCTAACTGCGTGTCTGAGCTGGGCATGCCCCTGTAAGTATATTTAAACTAAATAAACAGGCGTATTGCCTCTAACACCTACTCAACCACATAGTCCGCTGCCACAGGAGCTGTCACAATGAGGATTTTAAGGTTTCTGAGGAGCAGTGTTAAGGACATTGACTATTACTCCAAATTCTCTCCCTCTCCTCTGTCAATGAAGCAGTTTCTGGATTTTGGTAAGAGTACACACACTACACACAATATGCATCTGTGCCTATACTTAAAGCAGGGGAATAAACATTGTGTGATTATTTAATTTGATAACATTTTAGAGCCCTGAAAAGTCTTGAAAAACATCAGTTTTCACAAGAAAAATGTGTGTTTAAAAACATTATCTACCCTGGTTTTTATTTGGAAACCCTCATGCACACGTGTGACCCCTTGAATAGCCCACCAAACCAATGAGGCAGCAGAAGCAGAACACACAATTGCATCAATGATTACTCATTTAAAGGCTCTCATACAATAATTTTTATTATAATATATCAAGATTTCTGATGTTCTTCTATTTGTTTTCAGGCTCAGAAAATGCATGTGAGAAAACCTCCTTCGCCTTCCTCAGACAGGAGTTACCTGTGAGGTTGGCAAACATCATGAAGGAGATCAACCTGTTGCCTGACAACTTACTGCGGACTCCATCAGTGAAGCTGGTGCAGGGCTGGTACGCAGCTTCAGTTCTTTAAAAGTAACCTCTCAAATTAGTCTGCAAAAAGGTAATAATGATTTTCTTTGTGTGCAGGTACATGCAGAGTTTTCAGGATATTCTTGAGTTCAAAGACAAAAATGCAGATGATGAAAAAGTCACATATGAGTAAGTACATTAAAACAGTTATATTTATGAGGATCCAATCCTGTGTGTTAATTTGTATCACCTTGGAGTAATTGTTTTTGTTTTATTTAGTTTCACAGATGCGGTTATAAAGATCAGAAATCGGCACAATGATGTAATTCCCACCATGGCTCAGGGAGTTGT